TTGTAGCCTGTAGTGACTGAGGTATCATTGGTTAGATATAGCGTTAGGTTTAATATAGTTTAAAAATTTATGAATCCAGGTGGCATGACAGTGATGGGTTTAGGAACTAGGAATATTTATAAAATATTAAACTTTTAACTTAAGAAGTATTTTCATATGGTAGTTGACTTCACCAAGAAGATTTACCCTTATTTGGCTAAGTCCTTTCGTATGGTATAATCACTAAATCAGGTCAGAAAGTATGAAACTATGACATAATTATAAGTAACTAGTTAAGTAGTTTTTCTCATGTTTTTACACATATGTAAAGTCACTAAATATGCTACCAATTCCAAATTCCACTCCAGTGCATGAAAATAGAAAACAAACAAACAAAAAAAAACTTTACATGGTGGCAAGAATAAATTGTATTAAACTTGGAAAGTAAAAAATATGAATGTAATGTATCGCTATCAGATATCATAAACTGTCGTCATCAACTTAAAACGAGAGCTTTGACTTTTATGTAGCTCCGCTAGATATGTCATAAACTTTGTGTCAATCCATAAACTCAGTAGAACTTTTAGTTTTAATTTATGTGGCAATTTGTATCACAGAATATTAAATTAGTTTAGTTTTGGTTTTCACACTTACCTTTATTCATTTCAAAAAACTGTTTATAGCTATCCAGTTTTGTCTACTATCCATGAATTCACCATCTTTGTTTAGTTAACTTGAATTGAACATGTACATTCATATGAGTATTAATCCTGTTCTCAATGAAAAAAACACCTGTTTTGGAATGTCATTTACATTGTATATTATAAGAGTGCTATAGTCTCCTACGTCTTCTCCTGTTAACTGTTTCTTTTTCTCCAGTCAGGTTGGTGATAACACATCCGAAGGATATTTCTCATCATGTTGCTGAGTCAACTGTCTTTCATTAACCTCCAGTTGTTGTTGCTTAGTTCCATTTGTAATAAGACATTCCAGCCACTCATCTATTTTCATTCACATTTAATATAAATTGATGGCAAATGTATATGTTTCCTGAGGTTTACCAGTTAAATATTTGCAATACTGAAAAACTTCAAGGTACTAACGTTAAGAAATAATTCAGTCATAACTGTTGCATAATTAGTTTGTAATTCTTCAAACAATAATTAATAATTTTACTAGAAAAATATGCTAGATTGGAAACAATCTCGGATCTCAGTTTGATACATTGATTTTTCATTTTATGTTCTGAACATGGCTTTTATTTTATTATTAACAAAATAACAAGCAACAATACAAAACTTACATTTAAAAAAGGTGATCTTTATGAAATCAGTAACACTGTGTACTGTTAGTTGGGTGTAGGATAATTGTTTTGTTGCAGAAGCCATTAAGGTTTTCCTTGAGGACCTGGGAATTTTCTGGTGAAGTACTTGTGGTCTTTTGGATACATGTATTACAGAAGCATGTTGTTGTAGCATGTAACAGAAGGTAATATTTCAAAGAAGTGTGAGATACATATATCTTTCTTTTCTCTTTTGACTGTGGATAAAAATAAATTTTAGGTTTTGGAAGTTGCTTCTTGGAGTCAATATTTGTAGCTTTACATGCTGTCTCAAAGAATGTTGTAATTCTGTTCACATAATGAATGTTTCCAGGGCTACTAAGTTGCCTTCATGTTCTGGAATCATAAGGTGTCTTATTTTAAGCTCAAAGTGGTGTAGGGTAGAATCGTATGGACTTGTTTTTGTATATTTGGAATAAAATTAAATATGCTTAATGTTCAGTTAGATGAGTTCCGTCAGTTAGATTCTGTTTAATATTCCAAGTAAATTCTTGCTTGGGCATAGAGTATTCAAATGAAACATTTACATTTTTTATGAAAATATATTAGTTGTTCTTAAAAAAGTGTAGTATCTTGAAAAATATTAGTAAGAACATAAATTTTTGTGCAGCTTAGATAAATGAAAATCAATGTACAGGAGAGGTGAAATTTTATTGTAGTTATTGTCATAGCAAACTTTTCATTGCAAACAATTCAATGTTGTCATTTGATTGTCATATTTTTTCATTGCTAGTTGGTGTTGCCAGTATGTATTGTTTCCATTTGCATCCCATAGAGGTAAGTGGATTCAAAACACACCCATCACAGGATCTCAATCTCTTTAAACACCACAGATGTCTCATCCTTGGAATGTGTCAGCCTACTGTAGAGTTTACTGTACCAGATCGCATTGCCTGGAGTTTCACCTTGGCCAGAAAAGGATCCACTTCCATTTTCTGATGACCATTTAACCTAGATTATTAAGGGTTACATTATGTTTCGAGTGAGAAGATTGTCTGTTGTTTATTGATTAAGACTAATCCTAATTTCAGTTTCAAAACAAATAATGAAAAAGCTTGCAATGAATAGTTCATGATCAAATCATTTTCTTGCCTGTTTACTCATGGTGCTAATAAAGAAACAGAATGAATACTTAATTTCTAAAGTAATAGGTTGTTTTAATTATGCGAGGCTAAACGCTCAAGTGTGAAAACTGTAGTGAAGACAGTGAAACGTACTGAGTGTAATTGCACAGTAATGGGTAGTATGAAGGCATTATGTTTTCAGGAACTTTAAGAAACTGTGACAGTTGTTAAACTTGTATTGTGTTATCTGTTTTTTCTAGTGAAGAACAGGGAGAGACAGACCATAAGAGCTGAAGAAAATATGGAAAGAAAATTAGCGAATGTTAAAGCTTAATGAGAAATTCTAGTATATTGTTGAGTTTGCATATATATATATATATATATATATGTACAGTAATGGAAATAACTATGGAAACACCCAAATGATGCATATACAGGAGCCACAAACAACGATTAATGGATAGCAACTATAAGGTAAACATGTTAATGATACAAAAGATGATTACAGACAATACAAGAAAAAAGTGTTTTGCTTTACGCAGAGTATTACACCTTGTTTCTATAACGTTTATCGGTGTAATATTGTCCTCTTTCACTCCCTCGCAGTTCAGTAAAGTTGTTCGATTGACTTTGTAAACTATCAAATGTGGTTTTACTTTGGTGCAGTTTATTTACACAGGATGAAGGGGTAGCATTCCCATAGTATTTGCCTTTTACACCCATTTTTCATTAGTGTTTCATAATTATTTCCAGTAACAGATATATATATATATATATATTTTTTTTTTCCTTACAAATTTATACCTTTTTTTTACATTTGTTAATTTGCTTCTAAATTATATTTTATAGCTCTAAACTACTGTGATATTTTGATTAAAAACTTTATCTTATTACTTCCAAAACTGGTCAACTCGGACACCAAAATTTAGAATGTAGAAAAAAAAATTAGTTTTTATATTTAAGCACATTTGTTCTTATGTGGTATAATTTTGTGTGTGTGTGCTTAAATATTGTTACATTTGTGTTTCTCTTTAACAGTCACCTTTTTTGCCATCTGGTAATATAATTATATCATCTGTATTCTTAAAAGTGTCGCATAGTCATTTCATTCGCTAAAGCAGTTTTATTCTCGTGTATTGTGTTTGATTAGTTTTATTCCCGTGTATTGTGTTTGATTAGTTTTATTACCATGTATTGTGTTTGGTCAGTTTTATTCCCGTGTATTGTGTTTGATTAGTTTTATTCCTGTGTATTGTGTTTGATTAGTTTTATTCCCGTGTATTGTGTTTGATTAGTTTTATTCCCATGTATTGTGTTTGATTAGTTTTATTCTCATGTATTGTGTTTGGTCAGTTTTATTCCCATGTATTGTGTTTGGTCAGTTTTATTCCCATGTATTGTGTTTGATTAATTTTATTCCCGTGTATTGTGTTTGGTCAGTTTTATTCCCGTGTATTGTGTTTGGTCAGTTTTATTCCCGTGTATTGTGTTTGGTCAGTTTTATTCCCGTGTATTGTGTTTGGTCAGTTTTATTTCCGTGTATTGTGTTTGGTCAGTTTTATTCCCGTGTATTGTGTTTGGTCAGTTTTATTCCCGTGTATTGTGTTTGGTCAGTTTTATTCCCGTGTATTGTGTTTGGTCAGTTTTATTCCCGTGTATTGTGTTTGGTCAGTTTTATTCCCGTATATTGTGTTTGATTAGTTTTATTCCCGTATATTGTGTTTGATTAGTTTTATTCCCGTGTATTGTGTTTGGTCAGTTTTATTCCCGTGTATTGTGTTTGGTCAGTTTTATTCCCCTGTATTGTGTTTGGTCAGTTTTATTCCCCTGTATTGTGTTTGGTCAGTTTTATTACCGTGTATTGTGTTTGGTCAGTTTTATTCCCCTGTATTGTGTTTGGTCAGTTTTATTCCCCTGTATTGTGTTTGGTCAGTTTTATTCCCATGTATCGTGTTTGGTATTTTCTCTACTCTAACGAGAACTGTTACAAAAACAGCAGTGTAAGGTAACACGATGTGTTGATAACTCTGCCATCAAATACATAATATCATGTTGAATGGCACCCTGTACAAAGTCAGGGCATGCACACTTTGACATCCCATCCGTTAAAATAGTGCCAGTAACAAATTAATTTTATTTAATAGATACTTAAGAAGCTTTTTATTTTCTTCAAGAATATTTTTAATTTACTTAATTTTTTTACATGGAAATTTTTATAGCAATTTAAGAAACTGAAAAGAATTAAAAACAAGACATTATTAGTTTCTGCATTATCTAAATACATATTTATTTATTTGATACAAGTCTAGAATTAGGAAGGTAGATTTAGTGTATTTTGAATCTGATGATATTTACTCATTGATTCACAATTCTCTCCACACAAACTTTTCTGAGTGTGTTTTTCTCTAATATACATGTGAAACCTGTTATTTTGAAGTACAATTAGTCAGGTTATTCACCTGATAACATTTTTATAACATGTTTGATGTTTCCATTTTATGTTTTAAAATTGTATGCAGTATTAGTTTGAATTATATAAATTATAGGTGTATAAAAACTAGTAAAATGATTTAATTTCCTGTATACTTTAAATAATTTTTATCGTTTTTTTATAGGTTCAGAAGAGGCTACTTTTATGCCATTCATAGGTCATTATGAACATGTTTTTAAGGTCTTTCAAGTGTTTCTCACAGGATTTCACTATTCTCAGTGTTCCTAAGCCTCCCAAAGGCTTAGTTGACAAGTCTGCAGGCTTCCAACATTAAAATTTCTGGTTTCGATATCCATGATGGCCAGTATAATCACTCTTCTTTGTTTTGTAGCGGATCCTTCAGATGGAGATAGCAGAAGTTAATACATATAAGAAACAATTTTCTTGTCGTAATGGCATCTTGCTAAGCCTATTTTTTTAGTTATATAGGAGTAAATATACATCGAGATTGATGTAGATTGAACTGGAAATAAAAAATGAAAATATGTATTAAATATGAAACTGTTTAATTGCTAAAATAAAACTGGTATTTATTTGTTTGAATGCAACTTTTTTTTTTCTACTCTATCTAAAAAAAACACGAGTTTTGACTTGTTATATTAATCTTCTACTTTTGGAAAAGTTGTTATGTGATAACTGGTTACTTGAGATTTCTGTTTTATAAAATCAATAATTTTTAAATAGTGTCTTGTTTATTAATCAAAATGACTGTAGAAATGCTATATAATGTTTTTTAATTTTCAAATCTATCAGTTTCATATAATATTTGTCTGCAGAAGTGTCAGTGTCTTCATAAATCCTGTGTTGTTTTACATGGTGCATATTGTTAAATAACAGTAAAACAATAAATCACAATTCATATACTATTTTTGTTTAAATAAAACATTCCAGTAACAGTTGATTTTACACAGCAGCCATATCATCTTGCAAACTTTATAATGGATGTATAAAAATAGTGTACCACATATTAAAACTATCTCCTTTACATCTGTTGTTTATTACTAAACTGTTTACAGTCTCCTTTACATCTGTTGTTTATTACTAAACTGTTTACAGTCTCCTTTACATCTGTTGTTTATTACTAAACTGTTTACAGTCTCCTTTACATCTGTTGTTTATTACTAAACTGTTTACAGTCTTCTTTACATCTGTTGTTTATTACTAAACTGTTTACAATCTCCCATACATCTGTTGTTTATTACTAAACTGTTTACAGTCTCCTTTACATCTGTTGTTTATTACTAAGCTGTTTACAATCTCCCATACATCTGTTGTTTATTACTAAACTGTTTACAGTCTTCTTTACATCTGTTGTTTATTGCTAAGCTGTTTACAATCTCTCATACATCTGTTGTTTATTACTAAACTGTTTACAATCTCCCATACATCTGTTGTTTATTACTAAACTGTTTACAATCTCCCATACATCTGTTGTTTATTACTAAACTGTTTACAGTCTCCTTTACATCTGTTGTTTATTGCTAAGCTGTTTACAGTCTCCCATACATCTGTTGTTTATTACTAAACTGTTTACAGTCTCCCTTACATCTGTTGTTTATTGCTAAGCTGTTTACAATCTCCCATACATCTGTTGTTTATTACTAAACTGTTTACAATCTCCCATACATCTGTTGTTTATTACTAAACTGTTTACAGTCTCCTTTACATCTGTTGTTTATTACTAAACTGTTTACAATCTCCCATACATTTGTTGTTTATTACTAAACTGTTTACAATCTCCCATACATCTGTTGTTTATTACTAAACTGTTTACAGTCTTCCATACATCTGTTGTTTATCATTATGCTGTTTACAGTCTCCTTACAACTGTTTCGTATTAATAAACTGTTTACAATCTCCCTTACATCTGTTGTTTATTGCTAAGCTGTTTACAATCTCTCATACATCTGTTGTTTATTACTAAACTGTTTACAATCTCCCATACATCTGTTGTTTATTACTAAACTGTTTACAATCTCCCATACATCTGTTGTTTATCATTATGCTGTTTATAGTCTCCCTTACATCTGTTGTTTATCATTATGCTGTTTACAGTCTCCTTATAACTGTTTCGTATTAATAAACTGTTTACAATCTTTCTGACAACTGTGGTGTATGCGTATTATTTCACGTGTGCTAACTTCTAATGTAATTGTAAATAATTTTTGATGTTGCAGGTTACTAGTGTATTTGGTTGTTACAAGTCACAACAGGTGAGTAATGTGTTCTCGGAAGTTAATTTCTATTCATGTTTGATCATCTGGATGAGAGCCACAAAGCCACACTTACAAAATGACTCCAAGAATTCTTTTTGGGAACAGTAGCTTTAGAGTAAGAAATACTTGGGTGATCTGTGGTCCTCTAACTGTCTAGAGTTTTGGAGAAATAATGGAGTTCAGAGGTTTTTTTTCCATCAAGTTTGGTTTTATAGAAAATAGACAACTTTTTTGTATAACAACTCCAGGTCGTTACAGTTTGTAGAAAAACATATCTTTTGTGAGATTATGAAACAAATTTTGTGGTTGTACGAGGACTAGACAATTATAATATTTTATGGCTAAGTACCTACGCTATTCCGAGTTTCAGGTAAGACACTAGAAATGTTTGAGCAAATGTACCAAACTTATCATAGGAGCAGAATGAGAAGGTACAGTATAAATTGTGAAGTATTTTTCATTGAATTTCTACCAAAAAAACTGAGGCTCAAACACGAATAGTCAAGTGTTATTGGATAACACTTCTACATTTAATAGAGAAGGAACTTAAATTTTCTCAGACTATGACAGTTTTTGTGTTTAATTTATTTTTTATTGTTTCAGTTTATATTCGAAATTTCTTGTCCTCCGTAAAGAATTTAATATGATGAAATTATAGTTTTAAAGATTTGATATTATATATCCATCATATGTTAATTTATAATTCATTTTATTTTTCTAGACTTTAGATGTTTGTAGCAAATTTCCAGCAACACGGAGAAAAAAATGATGAAAGAAATCATCTAACGAAGTAGAAAACGTTTTCATGTAATCTTTGTCTTCCACCATTTTCCTCATTAGAGAATGTAATTTATTCATTATGTAATGTTGTGAAATACTATTCGTCAGTTAATTTTATTTTGGTTGTTCAAGGATTGTTAAGCCTAATGGGTGTAGTTTTAACCATCTTCTTTAACTAAAGAATCATTTCATTAATTTTTCTATGTTTGGATTTTGTTTAACCCTGTAATTAAGTTTAATTGTAGTTTCAAGACTACTTTTCAAATTTTTCCCAATGTTTTCTTGCCACATTCAAAGTGTACCTTTCACTTTGTAGAAAAGTAATCTTATTACACTTTTCATCACTAAACATTCATCTGTAAGAAAGAACTTTAATTTGAAATTTATATAAAAAAATTTTAAACAAGCATTTTGTATTTATCTTGCAAGCTCATTATAATAATTTTTCTATACCTGTGTTGTGAAAATTGATTGTTAGTATTAGTTTAGCATTGGTTTACTAATGTCAGTTGGACTTTCATTGGTTTGCTAATGTAAACTGTCAATGGTTAATCAATGTCAAGCGTACCTTCATTGGTGAAGTGTATTATCATTAGTATTCAGTATCAAATTCATTTAACTCGATACTATCGGTTCGTTCAAGTAGTTTAGAAATGTACAGTTCTGACAATTATAGCACAAAGTTACCAATCATAGATTTTTTTTGTTAATTATAAAATCCAGTGAGTCATTTCAGCAACTTTTTTTTTACTCATTTTCGCCGTTACGTTTATAGGTAAACAGCCGTATAGATACAGAAATACATTTGGGGGTTGTCCTTTATCATCTTTTTTTAAATAATTGCTTGAAATATTTCACGTATGATTGCTTTCAGATTATAAGAAATATTAAAATAATTATTCCTCAATTTATTTCTAAAACTTGCTTATTAATATGCACTACCTAGGATTTTTTTAAATAAAATTATTTATTTTATTGCGTACTTGTTTCTCAGTTGTATGTGATATCACATTTTAAAAAACCCAAACAAAGTCCATACAGTGTTTCCCTGGCGGTGGAAAAGTTCAGCTTATCTGTTGTTAAGTCAACAAATCCAGATGTAATTTGTGAATTAAGCCTAATGAGTCATTTCTTTCCAAGGTGAAATTGATGCATAGAAAAAAAAAGGTATAAAACACTTTGATATCCTAATTATTGGTTTACAAAACAAAATTTAATTTAGTGATTTTATTGTAAAAACAAATGCTTAATTAAACATTTAAAACCTATTTAAATAATACATCACTTATTAAACTAAAAGGGGCATAATATTAACGGATTCTATAAATTTGAAAGATAACATAAACTTCAAACAAAAATGAAATGCTGTGACGTGAGCCTAATTCTGCAGATTCTAGTTGCGAATTTTATTTATTTTTTCATGCCACATTATTTCTGTGTTTGTTATATTTAAAACCTATAAATACAAGTTGCAGAAAAAATAAATAAAATTTGAAGAATTAGGCTCACCTCACGCGAGAAACCGTTTGCTAACGCGTGTATTGAAGTAGTTGAACGAAACTCTGTTGATGTTATTCTCGTCGTCGTGTTACGTTCTTAGTGTTACGGAACGACTTAGTGACTGTATGCTTTCTTTACGTAAGGTGTGCCTGGTTTGAGGTTAACAGGATATCGCGGGTTTATAACACCCAATAGTTACCGAATTCGAAATTTGAATACAGTTTTGTGAAAGACGAGAATCAACCATAACCGTTGTTGTATTCCTAAAAGTATTTTATTGGGGTTCACTTTTTCATACAAAATAAGATAAGAAGGTTAGATATGTGTTCGGATTAAGGTGAGGAATAAATATATCAATAATAACCGTAACTTCCGTGTTTATTTCAGAAGGAAAGTTTGTGTGTTACGTCTGTCAAGCTAGGTTTACGTTCTCGTCAAGTCTCAGTAGACACCGACGATACAAGCACAAGGGGGCACCAATCAGCGAATGTGCTCTTTGCTTCAGAACTTTTAACCGACCGGATAACCTACTGTCTCACTATCGTGTTCACCACAGTATATCTGATGCTCAAAATAACTCGCTCTCGTATTCTTAAACTAATGATCTGTTGGACAATATTAGAAGTTCGGATCGATTTTTCAATAACCCGGATCTGATGTTTTCATAAGTGCTTGCTATATTGATAATTGTGTGAAGATAAGCAAATAAAGTAGTGAAACTTACGTCGTGATTACTGAATTTATTTCTAGTTCCAGAAAATCTTGAAAACACCATTTAGAAGAAACCCTAAAACACCATTTAGAAGAAACCCTAAAACACCATTTAGAAGAAATCCTAAAACAAAATTTAGAAGAAACCCTAAAACAAAATTTAGAAGAAACCCTAAAACACCATTTAGAAGAAACCTAAAACACCATTTAGAAGAAACCTAAAACACCATTTAGAAGAAACCAAAAACACCATTTAGAAGAAACCTAAAACACCATTTAGAAGAAACCAAAAACAAAATTTAGAAAACCCTAAAACACCATTTAGAAGAACCCTAAAACACCATTCAGAAGAAACCCAAAACACCATTCAGAAGAAACCTAAAACATAATTTAGAAGAAACCCAAAACATTCACAATGTCAGAAAAAATACGTAGGTTCAATAAGTCTTAATATAAAATGATAAAAACTCCATAACCCGAGCGCTTTCGAAAGGTGGACCTTTCTTCTTCAGGGGCAAGCTGGGAAGTAGCGCACATAGCCCTCGTGTAGCTTGCGTGAAATTCAAAACAAACCTGAATCTCAGGCTTCATTTATATCATCCGAGAAAGGGGGCGGGGAGAAACGAAGCACAACTATTGTAATATGAGAGTATCAGGGAACCTTTGGGGAGTTCTAAACGTAGAAGGTCAAGAGGTCATTTTAAACGATTTCTTTGTAACATACTGCGATGATGACTGGTCTACAGTAACATGAATATGCATTTACCAGAAAAGGTATGTTCTTGCCAAAATACAGATACTTTGAGAGAAAAAAATTACAAGATTAATTTCAATTGTCACTAGTGCCTTATTCTTACTACATCATCATGTAATAAAAGTTTTAAACTTTAAATAACTATTCTTTATTCTCATCCAAGTTCTTAGTTTGCAGTATTTTGGTGTTTTATATGTTTGCTACCTCTGTTTATTGTTAAGCACAAAGTTACAGAATGTGCTATTTGTGCTGTGCTCACCACGGGTGTCGAAACCAGATGTTCAGCGTTATAAGCCTTCAGACGTGTCGTTGAGTTATGAGGGGGGGGGTGTAAATCTGCTGTGTGTCCACTAGTGACATAAATCTAACTTTCTTTCAACCTGATTGAACACGATTATACATCTATAGTAATAACCTAATTCAGACTCAGGACTGTTCATTAATTAAAGAATTCTACCAAGATAAGGACACAGTTGTATAAGTTGACGTCAAACCAGATCACCTCCGTTAAGCCTACCATCGAAACAATTGAGTACAGCTCCACTGATGCTAACATCAAGTGTTGAAAGAAAAACTCGAGGGGATCTCCAATGGCCGTGGCACTTTAAATTCTTTTAGGCAGGATTAGAGTAAATTAATCTATGATATCTTTTTCCCATTTTATTTGCTACATTTTTGTGCGCCAAAAAATACCAAGCGTGGGGCGCGCGTATACCCGATTCAATTTTATTACTCATCAGGATTTCTACCAGCCTACCCTCAAACTGAAATTCTTTTAGACACGATAAGAGTAAATTAATCTTGGGTGTGGTCAAATACATCAATCGAAAGGGTTTGGCCTCCAGAGTCTAAAACTGTAATTATATCTCAAATCGGTCAAGAGATGACAGAGCTATGAGCTAAAATCTGTACTTGAAAAAAAACAACTCGGAGCCATTCTATGAACCGCTCAGGAACCGCTAAAACAAAAACACAGAAACCTTTTAAGTAAGAAAAAATGCTTTATTAGAAAAGTTTCAGCTGACTGATATTCGGGCCAGACTTTCTACCACACTGTATGAATAGTATACAAACAAAGGTCAAATGTATTCGACGCGACTCTCTCTCTTTTTGGGCTTAGTTGTTGATAAGATAAAGAAACACTGAATGACATTTAGAACTGATGCACAGTTGTCATGGCAACAGAACAGCGAGTCTTACAGTTGTAAATATTTTGCCACAAGCACTTCGTAGTTGCTATGGGAGATTTCCTTTCCACCAAAGGAGATGTACAACACTCCGTGACTAGGGTGGACCTTTCCCACGGTTTTGGTTCCGTTATAATCGACTCTGCCAATGAAAAGGGGTTCTCCAGTGTTAGTCCTGCCACCCTGGATAGCTCCAGTGGGTGTTAACCCGTTGGACATGTTGTGCCACTCCAAAATACTGCCGTTTCGGTTTACTAGCACCTGTAGATAATCAATCACAAGCCATGAATACAAGCTAGTAATGTTTCGATTTGAAAAGAATGAAAATGGGCCATTTATGTACAAAGAAATTATTAGTCTCAAATAGCCGCGAAGATAACTAAAATATTATAAATAGTAAGGAAAAATATTAAATGAAAATGTAAATAGAACAAAAGACTACTTCATGGGTATTTTAATGGCACGATTCTTTATGCGTAACGAAGAAGAAGACAGATATAGTCACAGAAAACAACGTTAAAGAAGAGATTGAGGCTCATTTCCATTGAAAGTGTACCTGATAATCTTTGTGGGAGTGTTCCATCCCGCTCCAAGGAATGTAGCAACATCCATGACTTGGTACGACCTTTCCAGGAACAACTTCTCCTTGTTGATGAGCGCGTCCAATATAGATTATGTCTCTCCCATCGTAACCACCTTGGACGGCATTTTGAGGGATGTTCCCCCTGGCGGCATTTACCCATTCAGCTACAGCTCGGTAATTAGTGGCTGAAATTACAAAAAATATCTGCGTATTGATCTGGTCACATCATGGTTGTTTTTTGTTTTCAGTTGAATAAAAGTTTATAGTAACCGCCACAAATGTATAATTAATGTTTATCATTACATATTTCAATACAGTTACATAGTTTATAATATTTGCTTTCTTAGCTTAAGATTTTGAAGTTTCACCTGAACACAGGTGACGAAAACACAATAACTGCTCGTTTTCCTTTAGAATCTTTAAAGGTTTAGAATAAATTGTATTATATTTGTTCTTTACCTGCCTTTGTTGGACAGTTTGTAGTTTCTCCGGATAAATATATAATGATTTACACAGAAAAGAGAGTAATCGATATATATTTAATCTGACCATTTTTTAATTAAGTGGTAACTATATAGGTAGACAATATCTAAATTATTTTCTGTGTTTTGCTTGCAATATTACATCTCAAAGCTCTGTAGAATACTCAGTTTATATAATTAACGAAAAAAGTCTGTTATTTAAAGATAAAAAAAAATCAATCTTGAATTTCATAATAATAATAACTAGTTGTTGTGGATGAGTTTTATCACAGACAAAGCACAGTTAATTAACGCGGTATCCTAGCGACAATTTCTTGACAAAAGACTCCCGAAACAGAAGTATGGCCGTGGGGCATATTAACATTCCTATAATATTATATTTAACCAAATAATGACAACATCAGCTTAAAAAATGCATATATTTTAACAACCTTATAATATTATATTTAACCAAATAATGACAATATCAGCTTAAACAATGCATGCATTTTAACAACCTTATAATATTATATTTAACCAAATAATGACAATATCAGCTTAAACAATGCATATATTTTAACAACCTTATAATATTATATTTAACCAAATAATGACAATATCAGCTTAAACAATGCATGCATTTTAACAACCTTATAATATTATATTTAACCAAATAATGACAATATCAGCTTAAACAATGCATATATTTTAACAACCTTATAATATTATATTTAACCAAATAATTAGAACATCAGCTTAAACAATTCACGTATTTTAACAACCTTATAATATTATATTTAACCAAATAATGACAATATCAGCTTAAACAATTCACGTATTTTAACAACCTTATAATAATATATTTAATCAAATAATGACAATATCAACTTAAACAATACATATATTTAGCGTTTGTAAAAGTTGAAATGTTCACGAAACTTACATCCACAACAAGTCGACATGGCTTCTTCTTACTACAAAGATTAAATGGTGGGTCGTGAAGTCTCTCCAATAACTCTGTAGCTTCTGGCCTTTTTTATCTCGCTTTCGAGTTAATATGAAACACTAAGGCAAACAAACACGACTGTTAAATAAACAGTAATTCAGATATCAAAGTAAATGCTTTTCTATGCAACCCCTCTAGTTTCCTTTAAATCAAGGACGGGTACAAGTGAACCGAATAAAACAACTGTGCTGAACATTTAATTTTGGACTGAATTTGGCTAAGCTTACTTTTGAAACCGAAGAGCAGATAAAAAATGAGAAAAAATTATATTTTTGCTTTTCTAAGAGTGGCTCAGAGGTATGTCTGCGGATTTACAATACTAAAACTCGGGTATCGATACTCGTGGTGAGTACAGCACTGATAGCCCATTGTATAGCTTTGTGCTTCACTACAAATAAATTTTCTAAGACTCCTCTCTTATATCAAAATAAAAATTAACTTCTATTTAATACGAAATGAGAGTGATAAATTAATTCATTCAAAAGTTTGAAGTTCCAAGTACTCATTGAAACTAGTCAAAGTAAGCAAAGTTTTAAATTAATTTATAAAATGTGGCCACTTTTTAATGATTGCTAAAAATATTCCATTTTAGAAGCAGAACATGATTAATTTGCCAAATAAAAAACGTGCTATCTCTAATACATAGCTGAAAGATATATAAAAAACTAATAATTCATTTACGATAGTAACGTTATATGAAAAATTATATTACAAGCCGTGAATGCACATGCACATTTACTGTATAAAAAATAAACAACTTCTTTGTGTTAACAATGTTAGATGAAAAATTATATTACTAGCCGTGATTGTTT